ACACATCACATTACACCACATCAGCTACATCATACCCCATCACACCAGGGATGTTATGCCACATCACATATGTCACGCCACATCACACCACATCACACCAGGGAGGCACACTCATCACATTGTCACACCATGTCACAACACATCATACCCCATCACACCAGGGATGTTACACCCTGTCACACCACATCACACCACATCACACCAGGAGTGTTGCACCCCATCACTCTCCATCACATCACACTGCATCACATTATGTCACACCACATTATACCACATCATACCTCATCACATCAGGAATGTCACACCACATCACATCACATGTTACACCACATCACACCTCATCACATCACATCATGTCACACCACATCACACTATATCACCCCTAGTTACACTTCATCACACCACATTACACCAGGGATGTCACACCCAGTCACAGCACATCACATCATGTCACACCTTACCACATCACACCATGTCATACCCCATCACACCACATCACACCACATCACACCAGGGATGTCACACTCTGTCACACCACATCACACCATATCATACCCCATCACACCACATCACACCAGGGATGTCATACTCTGTCACAACACATCACACCATACCATACCCCATCACACTACATCACACCACATCACACCAGGGATGTCACACCCAGTCACAGCACATCACATCATGTCACACCTTACCACATCACACCATGTCATACCCCATCACACCGCATCACACCACATCACACCAGGGATGTCACACTCTGTCACAACACATCACACCATACCATACCCCATCACACTACATCACACCACATCACACCAGGGATGTCACACTCTGTCACACCACATCACACCATGTCATACCCCATCATACCAGGGATGTCATACCCCATCCGACTGCATCACATCACATCACACCATGTCCAGTCATGTCACATCACATCACACCAGGGACATTGCACCACATCACACCACATCACATCACACCAGGGATGTCACACTCTGTCATACCACATCATAGCACATCACACCATGTCCTGTCACATCACACCACATTACACCCTGTCACACCAGGGACATCACACCATGTCACACCATGTTGTGTTACATCGCAGCATGGATGGCTGGAGGGTGTGCGGGGGTCACCCAAGTGCAGCCTTGCTGGAGAGTTGAGGGAGGGTCCTGGGGCTGGGCGTGGTGTTCCTGCAGGAGGGCTGTTCCAGGAGGGCCGGCCCTCTGGAGGATGCTCAGTCCCAGGTGGAAAGGGGGAGGTGGGGCCTGGGTGCCTCAGGGAGGGGCCCAATTTCCCCAGGGAACCTGGTCCAGGCACCAGGCCCTGAAGGGGGCAGGAGCTGCAGGGAGCATCTGCTTGTTCCCAACTCGGCCTGCTCAGGGCACGGAATGACACAGCGCCCAGCACTGCCCTGGGTTTCCCTTCCTTAGCTTGTCTGGGCCGTCTGTCATCAGATGGTGGACTGGAGCCCACCCCACCAGAGCACCTGCTTGAAGGGCAGAGGGTGGAGACCTGTCCAGCAGGGTCCCTGCAGGCTGGCTCGTTCTCTGGGCAAAGCTCTCCTGCATCTCTGGGACGCCATCCTTGGGCTTCGGATAGAGCCGGTGAGGCAGCAGCTGCCCGCCCTGACCCCAGGTGCTGTCTCCCTCACCCCCTCGCGGCTGCAGCAGTGTGTCCTGGGAGTTAAAGGGCTGGGCTTCAGCACCCGGTTCAGGCCAGGCCCCCTGGAGCCCACCCTCCAGCGGTGAGGCCTCCCACGGCACCGCAGGGCCTGGAGTCTGGGGATTTCACCCCAACTCTGTGTTTGGTGCAGCTCCTGCTGCTCGATGCCACACCAACGAATCCAACCACTCCCCTTTTCCTGGGTGAGATGGTCTCTCTCCTGCCACAGGAAACTCCGATGGCATTTCCCAGCCCAGCCACCGCAGCCACCTCAGTAACAAGACCATGTCCTTGACTGAGTTCCAGCCAGGCTCCTTGGAGCTTCTCCACTCGGCCTCAGCTTTGGCTTGTAAAGACTTGAGCAGACACTAACAGTGTCTAACAGCTTCTGGTTGCACCCCTAGGCCGACCCCTGCCCCGTCAACACCTGCGTGAGAAAGCTCCGTGCACCAGAACTGACTGTTTGCTCCAACCCCGACCCCCCTTTCTCAGGGCGTCTGCTGAAAGGGCTGCAACCACACGTCCTTCTGTCCGTTCCCGATGTCTGTGCATTTCCTGTGACCCAGGAGGGTCTTTCTCGGGACCTGAGAGCCACTCCCTGAAGTGTCCCCATTGGGAAGATGGGCCGGTGTCTCCAGGCTCTGGGAGGACAGAATCCTGACCTCAACAGTGGCCGGCGCGGACACAGCGGGCCCCATCCCAGGGACGCTGACCAGCGCTGGGCAACTTTTCCCTTCCCCGACGCCTGAGCCCCGAGCACCCTCGCTGCTCCCCGTACCGTCTCCCTTTACAAGGCTGTCGCCTCTGCACAGATGGAGGTGAGTTCAGGTCTTGCCGGACTCTTTCTTCTGTTGCAATAGTTATTTCTGTTGAAAATCTGTCCTTGCTACATGACCTAGTGCCCAGCTTTATCTTTGAAAATGTCTGTCTCCACCTCTGCCTCTCCTGCCTGGTCCTTGTTTCTGGCACCCAACATGTCTCTTATGGGCTGAATCTTACCTCGGAATGAATCACACCAGGTTTCACCCATACCTGATTAAGGTGATATTTTGATGAGATTTCAGGCTGAGAATTGATGCTGAAAGGGCTAAGTTTGGGGGATGCTGAGATAGGATCAATGTATTTTGCATGTGAGAAGAACATGAATTTTGGGGGGCCAGACTATGGACTGTTATGAGTTACATTGTGAGTGCTACAAATTCATATATTGAAGTCTTAATCCCCGGCCTCGCAATGTGACTGTATCTGGAGATGGGGTCTTTACAGAGGTCATTACGTTCCTATGAGGTCACTAATCTAATCTGATGTGTGTTCTTCTGAGAAGAGAAGCTTAGGACACAGGCACACAGAGGGATGGCCATGTGAGGACCTAGGGAGGAGACGGTGTGTATAAGCCAAGGAGAGAGGGCTTGAGAGAAACCAGCCCTGCCTGCATCCCCATCTCAGATTCCTGGTCCCTAGGCCTGGGAGGATCCAGGTCTGCGGTGCGAGCCGCCCCTCTGTGGTCCTGAGCTGACTCACAGAGATCTGACACCCACCTCTTGATTCTGGAAGGCCCTCCGTGTGGCTCTGCCTGGCCAGTCTGAGCCAGCTCCCAGGCCTCAACCCAGCTCGTCCTGGAAGCCCTGCCCCATGCAGAGTGACCAGGGCAGGCAGCACTGTGCCCAGCAGGAGGAGAAACTGCATCCATGTAGGCAAGAGGAGAAGCCCCGGGGGTCCACGTAGTGACGGGGCCAGGGAGGGCTGCGTGGGCAGTGCGTGTGGCCGCAGGAGGCGGGGGGCGTGTGCAGGGAGCCCCCGAGGTGCAGCTCGACCAGCCTCCTCCTGACTCTGCTTCCCACCGGGCGCAGGACGCGCGTGAACACAAGAAGGCTGCTCCCATCACAAAGTACAAGACTTAAAAAGATATTTTATTGTCATCAAAAACGAGAAACATTAAAGACAATTCATGAGCTTTAGAAAATCTAAAAGAAGAGAAAAGCTACCAAAGCTGAAATCGTGGCACCTCCTCCCAGTGAGCCCGGGAGTCCTCCCTGACGGCCGAGGCAGGCGCTTGCCGCGCTCCCGCTCGTGCCTCCCTTCCTGTCTGCAGACTCTGCGTGACATTCACTGAACGGCGTGACGCGGGCAGCAGAGCGTGGGAGCCTCTGTCCAGCAGTCGTGGCCGGCAGCCCCGCTCTCCCCAGGCTGCGGGCACCCTCTTTGCCGTCTCGCCTCCAGCTCATGCCCCAGAGTGGCTGCTTGTTCCTGCTGCACGTGACTTGGGGCTGGACTTAAGCCTCTGTGATGAGTTCCGCCGTGTTCACGCTCCTGGCTCTCCTGGTGTCCCTCCACCTCTCTCCCCGGTGCTCCTGGGCCTCCTCTGTCCTCAGGACCCACCAAGGCTGAGTCTTGCCTGCCTGGGACCTGGTCACCAGGCCTCCTCTGGCAGACCTGTCTGGGCAGATGCTCACTCCTTCCTTGGGCTGTCCTCACCCTTGCCCTGTAGGGCTCCTGTAGCGACCCGTGTCCCGGGCTCTTCTCTGAGTGATCTCGGCTGAGTGGAGTGGGTGGGAGGTGGCCGTGTCCTGGGCCTGGCCCTGGTCCCTCCTCTCCCAGTGCAGACTCTGGGGCTGGCTGTCCCTGTGGGTCGAGTTCCACCCGAGAATCCAGCAGCGTGGGCCGGCAGCCAAGGGGCGGTGCTGGCACCGAGACCCTGTTCCATGGGAGGCTTCTTCCCAGGAGCCGGAGAGCAGCGTGCGTGGCTTGAAATAAGAACAACCTCATTCCTCATGTCTGTTCCCAGGAGTGCCCAGAATGGAGGCGGCTGGCTGCGGGCTGGGAGGAAGGCCATCTGACTGAGCCTTCGCAGCTCTCCGAAGCCTCCCCAGCAGGGCCTGATGGTGCTGTGGCTTCTCCGCCTTGGTGGCTGATGCTCCCAGTCACCATGTGGAAACCACACCTGTGTTCAGGAGGCTGGCGTGGACGGGGTGGCTCCAGGGCCAGCTCCTGCCTGGGTGGGCGCCTGGTATGCCGGCCGCTGCCTCCTTTTGTGTGAGCACCTGGCAGGCCAGAGGGTAGGAATGTCCTGCTGAGGGGACAGCTGGCCCCCAGCGCCCTGCATGCACCAAGCAGCGGAGGTTTGGGGTAGACCTGCTATGCACAGGGTCTGGAAGGGGGGCGTGTCTGGTATAGCAGGGTCAGAGGGCAACTGCTAGGCCAGAGAGCCATGGGGTTGAGGGAGGTGAGGTCAGGGGGCACCAGTGGCCTGGGTGGTGGCTAAGCATGGCCCTTGGCTCCTGTGTGGGGTCTGGGTGGCCCTGGATACCCCACAGAGGTTGACCCTAGGGCCCCTGCCCGATCATGTTCCTGTAGTCGGGGATGATGGTCTGCTTCAGGTCCACCACCGAGGAGAAGATCCACTTCACCTGTAGGCAAGGCACAGCACAGGAGTGAGTGAGGCCACGGCCCTGCTCTCGAGGCCCACCCACCCTTCAGGCCACTGAGGCCACAGCTCTGCCCCCAGTCCCACCCACCCCTCAGGCCACTGAGGCTATAGCACTGTCCCCGAGGCCTTCCCACCCCTCAGGCCACTGAGGCCATAGTCCTGCCCCCAAGTCCTACTCGCCCCTCAGGCCACTGAGGCCACAGCCCTGCCCCTGAGGCCCATCTACCTCTCAGGTCACTTAGGCCACAGCCCTGCCCCTGAGGCCCATCTGCCTTTAAGGTCACCCAGGTGGCAGGGCCTCTACACTGCCTGCCCCCAGGCCTGGACATGGAGAGCAGGGCCAGGGTAGTGACAGCATGTGGGACAACACAGAAGACAGTGTCAGGGACAGGTGGGTACAGCATGGGGGACAGTGTCAGGGACATGTGGGTACAGCATGGGGGACAGTGTCAGGGACATGTGGGTACAGCATGGGGGACAGTGTCAGGGAAAGGTGGGGAGAGTGGTGGACACTGTTAGGGAGAGGTGGGGACAGTGTTAGGGAGAGGTGGGGAGAGTGTGGGGGACAGTGTCGGGGACAGTGTCAGGGAGAGGTGGGGAGAGTGGGGGACACTGTTAGGGAGAGGTGGGGACAGTGTTAGGGAGAGGTGGGGAGAGTGTGGGGGACAGTGTCGGGGACAGTGTTAGGGAGAGGTGGGGAGAGTGTGGGGGACAGTGTCGGGGACAGTGTCAGGGAGAGGTGGGGAGAGTGTTGGACACTGTTAGGGAGAGGTGGGGACAGTGTTAAGGAGAGGTGGGGAGAGTGTGGGGTACAGTATGGGGGACAGTGTCGGGGACAGTGTCAGGGAAAGGTGGGGAGAGTGGCAGACAGTGTTAAGGAGAGGTGGGGAGAGTGTGGGGGACAGTGTCAGGACAGGAGGGGACAGGTAGGGACAGTGTGAGGGACAGTGTGAGGGACAGGTAGGGACAGTGTGGGGGCAGTGTCAGGGAGAGGTGGGGAGAGCGTTGGAGACAGCAACAGGGACAGGTGGGGAAGTGTCGGTGACTGTTGGGGACAGGTGACAGCGTGGGGGACAGTGTCAGGGACAGTGTCGGGGACAGGAGGGGACAGCCTGGGGAACAACATCGGGGACAGGTGGGGACAGCATAGGGGAAAGTGCCAGGAATGGGAGACAGCATGTGGAACAGCATCAGGGACACGCAGAGACCGTGTGGGGGACAGTGTTAGGGAGAGGTGGGGAGATCTTGGGGTACAGCATCAGGGACAGGTGGGGAAAGCATGTGAGACAGTGTTGGGGACAAGTGGGAACAGCATCGGGGACAGGTGGGGACAGTGTGGGGCACAGTCTCTGGAATAGGGGATAGCATGTGGGACAGTGTTGGGGACAGCATCAGGGACAGGTGGAGACCATGTGGGGGACAGCGTGGGCGAGCGTCAGGGATAGTGGGGGGACAGTGTCAGGAATAGGGGACAGCAGGTGGGACAGCAAGGGGACAGGTGGAGACAGCATGGGGGACATTGTCAAGAACAGGTAGGGGCAGCGTGGGGAACAGTGTCAGGGACAGTTTGTAAGAGAGTGGGGGACAGCATCAGGGACAGGTGGGGACAGCATGGGGGACAGTGTCAGGAATGGGGAACAGCATGGGGGATAGTCTCAGGGACATGTGGGGACAGCCTGGGGGACACTGTTGGACAGGTGGGGACAGCGTGGGGGACAGTGCCAGGGACAGTTTGTGAGAGAGTGGGGGACAGCGTCAGGGACAGGTGGAGACAGCCTGGGGGAGAGTGTCAGGGACAGTTTGTGACAGCATGGGGGACAGTATCAGGGACAGGTGGGGACAGCATGGGGGACAGCGTCAGGGACAGGTGGAGACAGCCTGGGGGAAAGTGTCAGGGACAGTTTGTGACAGCATGGGGGACAGTGTCAGGGACAGTTTGTGACAGCATGGGGGACAGTGTCAGGGACAGCTGGGGACAATGTGCGCCGACCTTGAAGAAGGTGACGGTGGCACTGTAGCACACGCTTAGCAGGAAGAGTGTGATGAAGATGGTGATGGTCGTCCACAGCCCGTCCAGCTCCCCGTCCTGCGCCTCCACACAGCTCTCCTCCAGTTGCAGCTCTGGACAGGAAGGGGGTGGTCAGTGCCGTGTCCCGCTGGGCTCGGGCCTCTGGGGGCGATTCCCTCTGTGGCGGGGCCCAGGATGTAGGGCCCGGCCGGGATGGGCCAACAGTGTCCTGAGGTCAGCTCCCCGCAGCTGCCCGCCCTGTGCACCAGCTTTGGCCCCGGGGCTCCGCCAGACACCCGGCCCTAGATAGCGACCCGGCCCTCAGCAGGGCCCACTCCCCATCTCCCGTGTCCCTCCCTGAGGCCCAGAGGGCAGGAGGATGGTGAAGCCCACCCCTCAGGTGACCCCAGCTGCAGGGAAGGGCGGTACTGGGAAGTGGGCCAGAGCCAGGGACGCGATGTGGCGTGGGTTCCCCTGTGTGTGGGGGCCTGTGTGTGTGCGGCGGCTGCAGGGGCTCTGCTGTGAGAGGAGGGCTGGGTTTGTGTGAGCTGGTCAGCATGTGGACAAGCTGCTGAGTGGCTCGTGGGCCTTGAGGTGCTGCGTGGGGCTCGTGGGGGCCTGTGTCCGCGGAGTGTTCACGTGTGCGGGGACCTTGCTGTGGTCTGGGTGCTGTGCAGGTCGCCCGTGTGAGGCTCTGTGTGTGAGGTGTGCGTGTGTGTGTGTGTGTGGTGGCTGTGTGGCCGGCCAACCTCAGTCTGGGGTTTAATGGGTCTGGGCTGAGTGTGTGTGTGTGGGCATCTGGACCAGTCCCTCCACAGGGCCCGAGAGTGCATGTCCCCAGGAGTCGGTTATGTCCCCATGCGGGTGTGAGGCTGGGCAGGGCTGCCAGGGGTTAGTGCCGTGGGGGCAGATGGGTGAGGGAGGGCCTGTCCCTACGCACATGGACTAGGCATGCCCCCGAGTGGGCAGGGGGTCTGAGGACAGGGAGCTCACAGATCAGGACAGTCTCCTACAGAGGCGGGGGCTGTGTGCCTGTCCCCAGGGGGCTCCTAGGCTTCTGGTGGCCCAGCCCAGGGCAGCTGCTGCTGGAGGGAGGGCCTCGCTGGCAAAGCCCCCAGCCCCACCGAGGGCGGCCCCTGGCTGAGCCCCACCCTAGGTGGCCCAGGCACACGTGCACAGCCTGGGCCAGCGTGGGTTCAGTGGGACCCGCTGTGCCTCCCTCGTGCCCCTCAGGCCTCAGACTAGGCCTGACCCGCGGAAAGAACCATCAGAGTCTCGCAGGGGCCCAGGGCAGCGCTGGGTGCTTTATTTCCATGCCGGGCGCCTGGGAAGTATGTACACGGGGTGCGGGCCAAGCATCCTCGTGCCACCCCGAGAGCCCGGGGGGCGGGGGCTTGCCGGGTGTCGCACTCATTTACCCGGAGACACGGAGAGGCTCTTCTGGGTGTAGTGGTTGTGCAGAGCCTCATGCATCACGGAGCATGAGAAGGTGTTCCCCTGCTGCCACCTGCTCTTGTCCACGGTGAGCTTGCTGTAGAGGAAGTAGGAGCCGTCGGAGTCCAGCACAGGCGGCGTGGTCTTGTAGGTGTTCTCCGGCTGCCCGTTGCTCGCCCACTCCACGACGATGTCGCTGGGGTAGAAGCCTTTGACCAGGCAGGTCAGGCTGACCTGGTTCTTGGTCAGCTCCTCCCGGGGCGGGGGCAGGGTGTACACCTGTGGCTCTCGGGGCTGCCCTGTAGGGACAGAGGTTGGCACAGCGGTCACTCCCAGGGCAGAGGGTGGGCTGAGCCGGCCTCTGTCCACGTGGCCCTCGTGCCCCGCGGGTCCCACCTTTGGTTTTGGAGACAGTTTTCTGCTTTGGGGCCGGGAGGGCTTTGTTGGAGACCTTGCACGTGTACTCCTTGCCGTTCAGCCAGTCCTGGTGTGTGACGGTGAGGACGCTGACCACACGGTACGTGCTGTTGAACTGCTCCTCCCGTGGCTTCGTCTGGGCATTGTGCACCTCCACGCCGTCCACGTACCAGTTGAACTTGACATCGGGTTCTTCCTGGCTCACGTCTACCACCACGCACGTGACCTCAGGGGTCCGGGAAATCATGAGGGTGTCCTTGGGTTTTGGGGGGAAGAGGAAGACTGATGGTCCCCCCAGGAGTTCAGCTGAGGAAGAGATGGAGGTGGACGTGTCAGCACCCGGGCAGGGCCTGTCCCTGGACACAGGCCACTCTAGGGCGCTTGTCCCACCTTGAGCTGGAGGGTGAGGCCTGGGCTGGCTTACCTGGGCACGGTGGGCACGTGGAACGACATGGGAGCCCTGCAGAGAGAAGATTGGGAGTTACTGGGATGTGGGAGGAGAGAAGGTGTCTGAGCTGAGGGAGTGGAGTTTGGCCTTTGGGGTGGGCTTAGGTCAGGGCAGGGTCCTCCCAGATATGGCTCTTGGCAGGTCTGAGCCCAGCACCTGCCCCTGTGTGTGCAGGGCCTGGGGTAGGGGCATCCAGCCTGTGCCTGCTCAGAGCCTGGTGGAAAAAGCCAGAAGACTGGCTCCCTGAGCATGAGTGGGGTGGGCAGAGGCCTCTGGGTGAGGAGACAGACGGGGCCTGCCCTGCTGCCCTGGGCTGGGGCTGCACAGCCAGAGTTTGTCCAGGCAGGAGGGCCGAGCCTGGCTTCCAGCAGACACCCCCCTTCCCTCGCTGGCCTCTCACCAACTGTCTTGTCCACCTTGGTGTTGCTGGGCTCATGAACGACGTTGCAGACGTAGGTCTGGGTGCCCAAGCTGCTGGAGGGCACGGTCACCACGCTGCTGAGGGAGTAGAGCCCTGAGGACTGTAGGACAGCCTGGAAGGTGTGCACGCCGCTGGTCAGGGCGCCTGAGTTCCACGACACGGTCACGGGTTCGGGGAAGTAGTCCTTGACCAGGCAGCCCAGGGCCGCTGTGCTCTGGGAGGTGCTCCTGGAGCAGGACGCCAGGGGGAAGACCGATGGGCCCTTGGTGGAGGCTGCAAGAGACGTGGCGCCATGTGACTGTGGTGTAGGACAGAGCTGGGCCCAGGGCGCAGAGGCCCCTCCGTTCTTGTCTCTCAGCGAGGGTCCAGTGTCTGGGCTCACGGGCATTGGGTGTGCACCTGGCTGGTGCCACCTGCCTCACCTTGGCCCCCTCCCTGCCCTAAAGGCAAGGTCAGGCCCACCCTGCCCCAGAAGGCTTGCAGGAGTGGCGGCCCTGCGGTGCCCTTCTGCAGGCACCCCTGCAGCCTAGGAGGCGGGGCTGGGCAGCCGGGTTAGTGCTCTGTGTCTGCAGGGAGTCAGCACAGCCCAGGGCCTCTAGCTTGGCCTCGGCTCTGGCCATCGGTGCCACCTCAGGAACGGCTCATGCCCGTCGGCCCCACTCCAGCCTTTTATGGGTGCCTGGCTTGACCAGTGGCCACTGTTCTCAGATGGCTTCTCGTGGGTCCCCCGAGGCCCCTGCAGCCCCTGACCCTGCCGCCCCAGCGTGGCCCTCCCCTAGTGAGTGGGCCTGACTTGCCCAGGGCCCTGGTCATAGCCTGCCCTCTGCCCTCCAGGGCCCTGTTTTTCTGTGCAGCAGAGGGGCCAGACACTGCATAGGGTCGGCACCCTCAGCCCCAGGGCCCCGGAACCTCCTGCCTTGGAATAGCCCCCGGGAGCCCCCTCCTCAGCATCTCCCCCCTTTCCCCTTAGCCCCAGTGTGCACCAGCCCAGGTCATCGAGTGCATCGATGCCCCCTGCCTCCCCAGTGTCCTCCATTACTTCCGGAGGCTGAGTCACCACACCCTCACCCTCCCAGCCCTGGTCTGGCCTTCTTGGCCACCAGCCCACCTCCTCCCTCTCTCCAGAGCTTCCCCCGGCAAGGTCCCTGCTGGGCTCAGCCCAGGCCCCCCGGCACAGGTAGGAGCCTTGCACCTGCCCTTGGCCCTCCGCACCTTGCATGGCACCAAGACCCCCAGGCCACAGGGAGGCCCCATTTCTCTCTGCCGCTGGCCCAGTGACCCTGGAGTCCCACTGCAGGTCAGGTGTGCCCCTGACCTCTGAGGAAGCTAAGTTCCCTGCCCCCAGCCAGGCCATCCCCTCTGCTCAGCTCCAGGGCCCTGCTCACTACCTGTTCCCCTCACCTGTATCACGGGCTCTGGCCAACTCTGCCCAGGCCCTGAAGGGGTCCCTCTGGCTCCCCTGTGCTAGTACACTGCCCTGCACCACCTCCACTCAGCTTCATTGTGCTGGTGGCCCTGGCTCCTGGCAGCCCATCTTGTTCCTTCCGGAGCACCAACCTCAGGTCCACTGGGGCCAGCCCTGGTCTCATCACATGTTCCCCCTGCATCCAGACCTGCCCTTGCCTGTGAACTGAGCCCTGAGCCCTGGAATGCCTTCCCTTCTCCATCCCAGCTCACCTTTGCCAACTGCTCAGTGGGATGGGCTCACACCCACTTCCCTGCACCAGGAGGCTGCACTGTGCTTTCACCAGCCCTCAGCTGTCAGCTGCCAGCAACTGCCCAGCTCCTGCCAACGTGTAGAAGCTGAGTGCTGCCTCCCACCGGCCTGCTCACCTGTGGCTGCTATGCCCTGAGCTCTAGTGCCTGTTCCCTGCTTGTCCTGCCTCCCACCAGCCCTGCTCACCTGCAGCGGGTCTGCCCTGGTCCCCAGAGCTCCAGGAGCTGCCGCCTCCTCCTCCTGCCCCTGACCTGCCCCTGTTCACCTGCGGCTGCTCTGCCCTGGTCCTCTGAGCTCCAGTGCCTGTCCCCTGCTTGTCCTGCCTCTCATCGGCCCTGTTCACCTGCATCTGCTCTGCCTTGGTCCTCTGAGCTCCAGTGCCTGTCCCTTGCTTCTCCTGCTTCCCACCAGCCGCTGCTCACATGTGGGTGATCTGCGTTGGTTCTCTGAGCTCCAGGGGCTGCCACCTGCTTGTCCTGCCTCCCACCAGCCCCTGCTCACCTGCGGCTGCTCTGCCCTGGTCCCCTGAGCTCCAGGAGCTGCCCCCTGCTGCCCACCTCCCCCTGAACCCTGCTCATCTGTGACTGCTCTGCCCTGGTCCTCTGAGCTCCACGGGCTGGCCCTTGCACGTCCTGCCTCCCACCAGCCCCTGCTCACCTTCAGATGCCCTCCCCTCATTCCCTGAGCTCTAGAAGCCGTCCCCTGCTCCCCCTGTCTCCTACCTGCCTTGCTCACCTGAGGCTGTTCTGCCCTGATTCCCTGAGCTCCAGAGGCTACCCCCTGCGCGTCCTGCCTCCCAGGAGCCCCTGCTCACTTGCGGCTGCTCTGCCTGGCTTCCCAGAGCTCTGGGAGCTGCCTCTGCTTACTCATCTCCCACTGAGCCCTTCTCACCTGCGAGGCTGTGCCCTGGCTCTATGAGCTCCAGGGGGCTTCCCCCTGCTCATCCTGCCCCTCACCGGCCCCTGCTCACCTGTGGCTGCTCTGTCCTCGTCCCCTGAGCTCCAGGAGCTGCCCCCTGCTCCTCCTGTCTCCCCGCTGCCTTGCTCACCTGAGGCTGTTCTGCCCTGGTTCCTTGAGCTCCAGGGGCTACACCCTGCGCGTCCTGCCTCCCCCGTGCCCCTGCTCACCTGGGGCTGCTCTGCCCTGGTTCCCAGAGCTCCTGGAGCTGCCCCTGCTTGCTCACCTCCCACTGAGCCCTTCTCACCTGCGACGGCTCTGCCCTGGCTCTAAGAGCTCCAGGAGCTGCTCCCTGCTCATCCTGCCCCTCACCAGCCCCTGCTCACCTTCGGCTGCTTGGTCCCGGTCCCCTGAGCTCCAGGAGCTGCCCCCTGCTCATCCTGTCCCCCCACCGGCCCCTGTTCACCTTCAGATGCTCTGTCCTGGTACCTTGAGCTCCAGGAGCTGCCCCTTGCTCCTCCTGCCCCCACTTGCCCTGTGCACCTGCGGCTGCTCTGTCCTGGTCCCCTGAGCTCCAAAGTCTGCCCCCTGCTCATTCTACCCTCCCTCAACCTGGGGCAGCAACATCACTCAGACCACTGTTGCCCCCTGCCTGTCCTGGCACCCTCTGTCCAGGTTTGGGCTCTTTTTTCTGGCCTCATTTTTGTTTTTGTGGCACTTGGCTTGTTCCCTATGCTGTGGAGCACCCTGTGTCCAGTCAGGTCTCCCCAGCAGAGCCCCTTGCTCTTGCCCATGTCCCCCTCCTGGATGAGCTCCTGGATCCTCCCGTCCCGGCACTGCTCCTGCTCTGGAAGCCTCTCCTGAACCTCAGCTCCTCAGTGGCCTCTGCTCTGCTGGGTCAGCTCCCGGAACCCACAGAGCCTCAGCCCCTTTCCTCGCCCCAGGCCTGCTGTGCTCTGGGCCTTTCTGGGCCTCCCTGGGCTCTTCCCTCCTCCCGCCCATGCACTCAGCACAGCTCTCCACTCCTCTCCGCTGCTGACCACAGCCCTGCTCCCCGCCAGCAGGTGCCCCAGCCCCGTCAGCTGGCTCTGAGCCCAGCCCCTGTGCGTCCCCTGTCCTTGCCTCTGCCTCTAGGCTCCTTCACTTCCACCCTCCCGTCCTGCTGCCACATCACCCTCCCTGCTCTGCTCCCGGCTCACCTGCTGTCCTTGGTCCTGGCTGAGAAGAGGGCCCCACGGCCAGCACTGCTGACCCTGCCCTGGGCTCCGGTGCTGCTGCCGGCCTGGACAACCCCTCCCTGGGGCCTCTCCTCCTCCCTCGCTCTGCTGCCTCCTCAGCTCAAGTCGGTCCTGGCCATCCTAGCATCGCCCCACGGCCGGCTCTGCCGCATCCCGTCATGTTCCTCGTGATCCCAGCCCGGTGGTCCTGGAGGCCTCCGTCAGCCTCTAGTGCGTCCTGCCCTGTTGGCTGGGAAGCACCTGCCCGCGGGCCCCGTCGTCTGGCACTGGGTGGGCATCGGTGCCTGAAGCCTGCCCACCTCCCCCATGCTGGCTCCGCTTGGGCCTCCATGTGGGGCCGGCCTCGCCCCAGCGTCTCCCCAGCCCCTTGCAGCCTGTTCGGCAGCTCAGGTCCAGGAGACCCACGGCTGCCCCCAGGATCTGTCCTTCTCCTCCCAAGCCTGTGCTCCTGCCCTGTGCTGACCCCACTCATCGAGGTGGGGGTCCCAGCCCTTCCTACTCTGTCGCGGTTCATGTGGGTGTCCCCGCCCCCTCTGTCAGCCGCTATTTGTCTTCCTAGGAAATCACAGCTCAGGTCCCAGGTCCCCAGAGGTGGGAACTCCACCCCTGCACCCTGCAAAGACTAAGAACAGGATTGAAACCGGGGGCACTGCTTACTTCCTGAAGTTCCCTTTTCTTCTGGTGGTTTGTGTGTCAGAGGGCGAGGGGGAGTCCAGACACAGCCGAGGCTGCCTCCTGGGTGTGTGGGGATGGGGGTGGTGGGTGCCCCCATACTCATGGGAGAAGGTGGGGAGCCTGGACCTTGTGCGCTGCTCTTTTCTCTGTCCCTGATTCCCTGGGGCTGGACTGAGACTGGCAAGGATCATGCCCATTCCGCCCATGGTCTCAGCCTCTTAATACCTGGGCCTCCCACCTGAGCCTTCTGGCCCCCACTGGGCCCTGGTGGCTTCTTTTGCCTGAGCATCCCTCCAGGTGGCCCTCACTCATGGTGCGGGGAGGGGAGTGTCAGCCCATCCCGCTGAGCAGCTGGCAAGGGCGAGCTGGGACGGGGAAGGGAAGGCGCTCCAGGGCTCAGGGCTGAGCTCACAGGCAGGGGTGGGTCGGGCTGCAGGGGGAACGTGTGCTTGAGACCAGGAGGGTCCCAGGGCTGGTTCGAGTGTACCCTGGGCAGGAAGGCCCCTGAGGCTGGCGCTCCAGAAGGAACAAGATGGACTGCCAGGAACCAGGGCCACCAGCTCTACTCCTAGGGACCGAGGGGACATGGGACAGCTGGATGAACACACTGAAGCTGAGTGGAGGTGGTGCAGGGCAGTGTACCAGCAGAGGGGAGTCAGAGGGGCCCATTCATGGCCTGGGCAGAGTCAGCCAGAGCCTTTGGTGCAGGTGAGGGGAAGGGGTAGTGAACAGGGCCCTGGGACTGAGCAGAGGGGATGGCCTGGCTAGGGGCAGGGCACTCAGCTTCCTCAGAAGCCAGGGCACACCCGAGTTGCAGTGGGACTCCAGGGCCACTGGGCCAGCAGTAGAGCAAGAAATGGGGTCTCCCTGGTGCTGGGGGTGCTGGTATCATGCAAAGTGGGGAGGGCCAAGGGCAGGTGCAAGGGTCCCATCTGTGCTGGGGGAGCCTGGACTGAGTTCAGCAGGGACCTTGCCAGGCGGAAGCTCTGGAGAGAGGGAGGAGCTGGGCAAGGACTGATGTGGAGGTGGGAGGTAGGAGGGGACAGGATGAAGGCAGAGGGACTGGGCAGACCAAAAGCCTGAGGAGGTGTCGCACAGGAAGTATCCAGAATGAAACAGGAAGCATCCAGCATGGAAGAGGAAGTATCCAGAATGAAACAGGAAGCATCCAGCATGGAAGAGGAAGTATCCAGAATGAAACAGGAAGCATCCAGCATGGAAGAGGAAGTATCCAGCATGGAAGAGGAAGTATCCGGCATGGAAGAGGAAGTATCCAGCATGGAATAGGCAGAATGCAGAATGGACATTTCGAGGGGAAATCATGTCCCTCCTCCTAAATGTGCTCTCCACAAGGATACGTCCCTCCGTTGTGTCCCTGCTGGATCCCTGAGCTGGCACCAGCCGTGCCCTCAGAGAGAATGTCTAGGAGGCAGGTGGAGGTGCATGTGTAGGTCCCTGGGGAAATCCATCCTCCGGCCGTGGGCTCCCAGTTGGCTCCCAGCCTCCAGC